ACCACAAAACCAGTCTTAAGTCGCTGGGGTATATTTGTAGCAATAGCCAAAAATACATTGTATGGGTCAAAATGATTGATTTTTCTTTTATGCCAAAAATCATTAGGATATTAAGTCAAGATCATGTTCCATGAAGATATTTTGTAAATTTCCTACCGTAAATATATAAAAACTTCATTTTTGATTAGTAATATGCATTGCTAAGAACTACATTTGGACAACTTTAAAGGCGATTTTCTCAGTATTTTGATTTTTTGCACCCTCAGATTCCAGATTTTCAAATAGTTGTATCTCGGCCAAATATTGTCCTATCCTAACAAACCATACATTAATAGAACGCTTGTTTATTCAGCTTTCAGGTGATGTATAAATCTCAATTTAAAAAAATCGGCCCTTATGACTGGTTTTGTGGTCCAGGGTCACATATATACTTTTTCCAGCAATTAAATTGATCAAAAGTGACAATAAGGATTTTACATTGTTAATATTCTTTTGAACTTGAAAAAAAAATCACAGTTTCCACAAAAATATTAAGCAGGATAGCCGTTTCCAACATTGATAATAACAAGAAATGTTTCTTGAGCACCAAATCAGCATATTAGAATGATTTCTGAAGGATCATGTGACACTGAAGGCTGAAGTAACGGCTACTAAATTATTTTAAACTGTAATCAAATTTCACAATATTATAATTTTTACTGTATTTTGATCAAATAAATGCAGGCTTGGTCAGTATCTCATTAACACTTAAAACATTTAAAATGATACCAACCCCAAACTTTTGAATGGTGGTATATGTAGCTGCAAACAGCAATTTAAGAGCACACCAGCTAGGAATGTACCTGTAGTAGATTTGTAAAATATATATCATATATTGTGCAAAATCAAAAAAAAAAAACATGGGTTGTGAATTTATGAAGCGTGTTAACAGTATTCAGTGCTCATAATGGAGTTTGTCAGCATCACCTGTCACAGGACAGTTGTTTGTACTAAAAGCATTTCCACATTATTGAGTTTGGATACACTGCTGCATCTTTTCACAGCCATATGTCTCTGTGAATGATTTTATGGATGTAATAAATCGTTTAGCATGAAGAGAAATTCAGTGCTCTTTTAATAGAAACTTAAAAAACCCATTTAAACAGGAACTATACACTATATAAAAACAGAAGCAGATGATGCAAATGAAGCGTTGCCATGGAAACCCAGATGTCACTGGTCTCACACAAATAACATGCTCACTGTATCTTTAAGAGGATCCCCTTACGGACAATATGTTTTCTTGATCATCTTTCCCTTTATGTGCGGTTTTTACTGTATACACTGCATTTCTTTTGTTTCCTACCGATTTTCCAAGGCCTCCGGCTGTCTTGTCTGTATCTGTATGCCAATGCTGTACCATCTAGTCCTCTTAATCTCCCGGCTCAGACTCCATTATCAGACACTAATTATGCTGTAGCTAATGGAGGGCCACGTGCTAATTGTGAGATTGAGGTGGGATTTATTAGGTGGAAACAACTGCTCAGCAGAAACCTTTAAAAGGGGAAGCAACAGCACAAAGCAAAGTGCTGTATGAATAGCAGTATGTGGCCTTGGGCAAGATAGCAATGTAAATGGACACTTCATACAAACTGGAGAAGATTCATTTAAATGAAAATGGCAGTGAAAACATACCTGCTACATGCTGCAACCGCAGTCAGTGTTTTATTTTGATGCTGTTTTAAAGAAATAGTTCACTTAAGGAAAAACCTGTCATCATTTGCTCACTCTCAATAACTGTGGACAATACAATGCTGTTTAGTAAATTGCAGATTACAGGATCTGTTATGATCTTGTGATTAAATAGAAAGTTAATACAGTCTTTCTTTGTTTTCCCTCATTGTTGCATGTCTTTCTTTCTTCATTTGTCTTTTTCGCTCATCTTTCTATTTCAGCTGGCAGTGGAAATGACCACTTCCTCCTTGGTAGCAATATAACCGTTGCGGTTCTGGGTATAGTCATTCCAATAGGTGAGTATTAAAGTTAACTAAGCATTTTATCCTGCATTTTGAATTCAGACTTGTTCAACCAGTAGATGAACAGCTTTTGCCCTTGAGCTTTATGTGCACTACCTGCTTTGGAGACACTTACGGTGGTCCTAACTAACCATTTATAAACTTACTGCGGCTTCGTTTAGCTTAATATTCCAGGTTAAATACAACTTAAGTGCTATTGACAGCATGCTAATTATTCCAGAAATAATTTCAACTCAATTCTGAGTTTGCTATTTGATGTTACTGTCCCTCTGTGCAACAAATCCATTTCTTCACTTTGCAAACACGTGATGCATAAAACAATTGTTAATAATACATATTTATTCTTCGAGATTACTTGGAATAAATTAGTAAAAGCTTTTTCAAGGTCACATTACATCCCGGTGGTCCGTCGTATCTATTAATTCTTATCCCGGCAATGGTACACAATGTGGAGGACACACTTTTTGCTCTTGAAAATTCTCTCATAAACATTTTTATTGATTTTTCATCAACCCCCCAAAAAATATGATTTATATTTCAAGTAAACATCTCACATTTAGATAGGAATTATTTGTATGAATTTGAATTTAAGCATGAATTTGTTTGTTGCCTAGAAACAACATTGTGCAGTGAAATGGATATTGATGTAGCAGTTTTTTTCTGTGGGTGGATTTGCTCTATTAAAAAGTGCTGTGTGGGTAATTATATTTATACATTCATATTTAATTACATTTATAAAATTACATTTTTATTACATTTATATCATTTTTCACTGATGAGGTTAAAAAATGCTTCAAACTAGTCTAAATATGGTTATACTTTGGTGACAGTGTTACATTTTTTTGTATGAAGAGCATTAGATTATCCATAGATCATCCACAGATGCTGTCGATTCAGCTTGAATTGTATTTAATCCAGAATATTCTTTCTAAATTAAAGTGTCCATTTCAAAAAGTTATATGACAGCGGCCTACAGCATGTGTTTTTAAATATGTTGTGCTCATTATGAAATATGTGCTTTATAAATGGTTATTTTTGATCCTACAAAAAGAAGTGTCACTCATGCATTTTGATTTTGTGATCATTCTCTATACATCATCCTTTTGACTGTTTGAGCAAACTAAATAACAGTACATATTTATATATATAAAGTACAGTAATGTATACATCTCATAGTTTCTGCAGAAAGTCTCTGTCAAAAGGACCTGATGGGCTTCATTGATTGTCTGAGCTGTCTGGCGAGTGGCTTAGTGGGATTGAAATGACCTTGTCTGTGCTCATATTCAAATGAAAGCCACTAAGTGAAATACTTTTCCTCTAAAAAAACGTTTCAATAGCTCTTTGCAATTGCAGTCCCTCTATGGGCATCCCTTAAAATTGTAACATTTTTCTAAATGCTTTCTTTTATTGTAGTTTGGTTAAAAAAAATCGAATGTAATTCATAGACAAAATGCATTCCAAGTGTTTATAGCGAGACAATAGAACCTCAGTGATGGAGGAAAACACATCATGAGGAGGTCTCTGCGGCCCCCCAGACAAAAGAGCAATTAGGGAGAACTTCCAGGGAAGCCAGAGAAGCCACGGCTGATCTTTTAAAATAGGGAATGGGTTAGCCAGCCACTGCAGGAAAGCCACACATGGTTATCAATTCACCCGGAATAGCAATGTGACCATTCACATGTAGGCATGTGGGAGCATACACACAATCCAATTCGATTTCCCCTGGTCCCCTTAGACCCCTGCTTTCTCACAGAGCAGCATGTGAGCACCCCCTTCACATATTCCACTAAGCCACTGCGTGTGTGTGTGAGAGTGGGAAAGGTGCGTCTTTGGCAGCCCTAGTTTTAAAATATACATATGTGCTATTTTGGGGGTTTTAGACCTGCTTTTTAAGTAGTCTTTTTGGTAGTGATATGATCTGACTCTTCTTAAATTATGTACACTACCATTCAAAAGACTGGGGACGGTAAGATTTTTCAATGTTTTTAGAAGACGTCTCTTATGTTCACCAATGCTGCATTTGTTTGATCAAATATACAGTAAACCAGTAATATTGTGAAATATTATTACTATTTAAAATAAGGGTTTTCTATTTTAAAATGTATTTTATTCCTGTGTTGGCAAGGCTGAATTTTCAGCAGCCGTTCGTTACTCCAGTCTTCAGTGTCACATGATCCTTCAGAAATCATTCTAATATGCTGATTTGCTGCTCAAGTAAATTTCTTATTATTATCAGTTTTGAAATCAGTTGTGCTGCTTAATATTTTTGTGGAAACCATGATCATTCTTTTTAGGATACTTTGATGCATATAAAGTTTGAAAGAATTTTATTTGAAAAAGAAGGCGTTTGTAATATTATAAATGTCTTTACCATAACCTTTGATCAGTTTAATGCATCTTGACTGAATAAAAAAAATAATAAAAATTATTTAAAAAAAAAAAAAAAAAACTTACTGACCACAACCCTTTAAAAAGATTTTACTGACCCCAAACATGCTATGCACTGTATATTGCAAACTACTTTTTTTTTATTGTATGTGAGAAACAGTATGCATACTTTGTAACCTTCATTTAAGTTATCATTGAAAAGAAAAGTCAAATTCAAATTTAAGTCAAAAGTCAAATTTAAATTTATAAAAATAAAATTTACAACCTCTTTTCCCATGCTGATGTAGACAGGTTTTTGTTTGTTTGTTTTTTCCTTTTTATAAATGACACTTGTATAGCCTATACTATTTTGTAGATTTTATTTAATGTTTATTGGTATAAAATCACACAAATAAGGGTTTTAAATTCTATTTAAATATGTCCTGGATTTTGGTAAGAGAGTTGCAGCAAGAAAAACAGCAAGCATTGAATGAACACATTATGCATACTGCTGATATATTACAAGTAGGATAGAAACCTGCTATTCTAAACATAGTGTAGTTTTTACACCAGTATTATCATCTGAGGATTCTGTGGAATACAATGAGATTTGCTTTGATACATAATGTCATTCACCAAATTTCTTGTTTTATAAACCATTTTAATAAAACCATTTGACCCTGGTCTGCCATGATGCACCTTATAGTTTGAGTGTGTGAGCTTGAATATATATGTGTGTGTGTGTGTGTGTATGTGTCATTATGTCTGTGCTCTGTGTCCCCTGGCTGTGTTAACGCCCCCGCCGTATGTGTTGACTGTGTGTTAAACGCATGCAGTTCCTATCCTTGCCACAGTGGTCATCGGCCTGATGTGTACCGGAGGCTACCTGGTGTGGCGTAACTGGAGGAGACGGAACACCAAGAGCATGAACTTCGACAACCCCGTTTACCGCAAGACCACAGAAGATGACGACGACGAAATCCACATCGGCCGCAGCGAGCAGATCGGCCACGTCTACCCTGCAGTGAGTGGCAGTGCCAGACAGCCATACCTAGCACTGCCACTGGGTGGCGGTATCCCAGACCCGGCAGCTCACTGGTACTCAGGGGCACCTATGCTGTCCAGCACAAAGTGAACAAAGAGAGGAAGACAATCGGATGGTGATCAAATGTGGCCAAGGCTAAGACAGCGTTCCCCAAGAGAGGGCATTATGCTGCCTCTTTTGTCACACATATTTATACTCATAATTCACCACACATTTTCATTCAAATGTATGTTTAATTAGTGTACGGATTACCATGTGAGGTTTCATTAGTCTGTATGTGTTTCCCATTGGCTGATTCCGAAATCGCGTACTCTCTGAGTAGGTACTTCTTTTGAATAAGTAATTACTTTGCAACCGTTAAAAAAAATGGGTTCTAGTATATAGTATGAATGTGTGTAATATGAATTTAATCCAGATGTACTACATTCGCCATGTTGTCAGTATCATGTGACCTATCACCCATTCACTGCCATTTACAAATCCTCTCCCCTGGCCTCATGGGATAGTAAAGAGTCAAGTTGATGTGGAAATAGTATGTCATCCAGGAACTTTTCACCTATTGTTTTAAGACTACTATGAAGTCGTACATACTACTCTTTACCTATACATTTTTTTGACTACTATATACTAGGAAAGTATGCGATTTTGGATGCAGCCATGGCCTTTGGTTTCTCGTGTTGTGTGTGTGTAAAGCTTTAAATGCTTTCCACGTTTGAAAGCTTTGAAATTGTGCTCTCCTTTTACCCAATAGTTGTTGTTTTTTTATTAATTCAGTATAACGGTTTTAGGGATGAGCAGCGAGCACCTTAAATGACTGGACAATCTTTTAATATATTATCATTTATTTATTAATTTAGGTGTTTTGCTGATAATTTATTTGGGTGGTGTAATGATTTATTCATATATTTGCATAACTGTTGGCCTGGGCTAAAATAGTTAACATGGTGCTGTTGAGAGCTGTTAGTCAGATGGAGGGATTAGAACAGTGTGATTTGAACTTCCTGTGCTACAGTCAGCATGTCAAGCACAAGCAGAGATAAAGACATCAGTCGCGCACCAGAAACGGGGCAGGCCACCCCAGTGGCATAACAGGATTCTCTCCAGCGCCCCACACATCACGCTCTTCACAGTGTGTGGGGGTGTGGGGTTGGGGTTCTGTAGCCGTCTCCTTCTCTATGGGCCTCCTCATTCTTTCCTATGTGTTTATTTCTCAACCTTTCTCTCAACACATGTAACTGTTTTTTTTATCTGCTCTCCGCAGCGCGTGGCGCTCAGTCCAGACGATGACGGATTCCCCTGAGGGTGATTCTTGTAGTTGCTCTCTCCTTCTCCGTCCCTGAATCCATGCGTCCTTTAGTCCTCCATCTCTCCTTCCGTCGAGGAGGTCGCACGAGACAACGCAGCAAGGCACAGAGAGCCAAAAGGACACGAGAGCACTTGCTCTGCACAGCCGAGAGCTACAAACTGGGTTTGTCTTCTCATAGTGTCTTTTCCAGCCCATAAACCCTCAGTCGGGCAATAATCACTAGTTCTAAAATTAAACTACTAGCATCATTCTTGCTCTGTGTCAGTAGTCATAGGTAGTGCTGTCTAATGATGACTAACTTCATAGCTCATCACGTCAGTAGTCGCTAACACTCAGTGGCTCTCCTGCTGCAGTCGTGCTGTAGTTTTTTATTTATTGTTTTATTAGAAATAGTTTTATTACTGGTTAAGCTGGTTTGAGCTGAGCTATGGCCATTTTGTCTGGCAAAACATGTTGGGAGAGAATTGTGGGCAATCCATCCTGTGAGCATAGGAGATGCATTGAAGGAAAATGTGAAATAGGATGGAGAGAGGATGTGGAAAATTCATATTTGCAGACATACTAAACACAGATTCCACCATGTGGCTGTTATGCATTCATATAATCTCACAAGCAAATAATATACCACAAAAATTAAGATTTACCTGTAAATAAGTCAGAATCTGTCATTTTCTGTTCTCCTGCTTACATACTTCCAATGCCAAGACTAGTGTTCCTTCACGTCTTCCATAGTCACTCGAGTCAGATTTGACCCTTCTAAAAGATCTGCAGCCACTATCTGGAGATGACGGGTTTCACCTCCCAGTTTTGAGAGGTAATATATTTTTCCATTTTTATTTATTTCACCAGCACTGGGTCTTCCGTTTTTCTCAAGTTTCTAGGACCAACTAAAATCTTCCTGCCCAGGCACATTTATAACCCCAAAACATTAGCTCAGGACATCAGTTTTTCTAAAATATTATCAGTTATGGCTATAATCTGTGTGGTTTGTTATCACAATCACGCTAATAGATACGGTAGCCAGGGTTTGATAATGGCTAAAATGCTGTTTGTTCATATCTACAGTCTAGATCGCTCCTTCTCAGACACGCAAAAACACACATGTCTTTTCCGCCCCTACATTCGTCATGCTTTGGAGAAAACTCTTCAGCATTTAGCAGGCTGACAAAGAAGACTTAATGGCGTGATAGATTAGAGTCGTAGATCAAAGCTTTGCTCATATGAACAGTCATCTGTTCAACGTGTGGCACAGGAAATGAGGAGTGCCTGAATATAGGCTTCCTGTACATATCAACTCTCCAACTTTCTCTGTGTGATGAATGAGCACTTGGTTATTTCTGTATCACTGTCAGAGGGACACTGACTGATTGGACAATGTAAAAACAGTTTTTTTGCTGGTTTTAGTTAGGCTAGTCTGAATTGATGGCTTAAAGGGGTTTGATGGATTTAGATCAAGACTGACTGAAATAAACTAAAAAATATATGTAATTGGAGGCCCCCTGATAGTTTGCCTTTTGCCCTGGTTGAGAACCACTGATTTATAGATCTTAGAGACCATCAAGGCCATCTAAGCTTCATCTAAACCAGCAAAAAACCTTAGGCTGGGTTAAGATTTTCCAGCAGGGAATAAAACTTGGCATGTGATGGTATGTTTCTGTGTACTGGGGTGTGATGTTAGATCAGATGGTTTTGAAGAACTAGTCATGTGAGTTGCCCTTTGTTGGAGGCTACTGAAAGTACCCGAGATTGGTTCTGGCCCGCAAGTGGCTGGTCTCGCATCTTGAGTGGTTCTTTGTTCCTGCCACCTTTGCTCTTCTCTGCTGTGATGAGGCATCTTGTGTAAAACATCCCTCCACATTTCAAAGAATCCTCCATTAAGTCACTGTTTGTTTTCCATTAGGAAGTGAGACAGTGTGGGAGTTTCATTGCTCAGGCTTTTGTCTGTGAGGATTAAAGGAGCTGCAGTTTGTAGTTGGTTTTCTGATCAGATGGGCTTGAGATGTCTTCACTGAAGACATGTTTCGGAGATAACAGATCTATTGTCATCGATATTATAGTTTGTTTAATGAATCTTCATTCTTCCTTAACTATTTCTCACGTCAAACTATGTATACAGTATGGAAAGTATAATGGATAGGTTGATTTTGGAAGCAGTAACAGTTTAGATGCTTTGAGTATTTTTTTTAAATATCGGCTCTGAAAATGTGAAACTTTTTGATTTGAGAATCTCAGACTAGCAATACAGGGTAATCAAACTGCTTAATGTGCTAGTTTTTTTTAGAACTGTCATGTCATAAATTATTGTTTAATCATTATAAATTTGGTTTCTTCAGAAGCGTCTTACTTAAGACTTGTTTGCTGGTCTTATTAGATCTGGTTTGCTGGTATTTCGGGCACATATCAGCTGGTTTAGGCTGGAAGACAAGCTTGTTCAGCTGAAACCAACTGGACACCAGGCTAGGAGACCAACTGAAATGAGAAGAAACAGCCTAAACTGGTTTTAGATGGAATTTGGGCACTTATCAGCTGGTTTAGACTGGAAGACAAGCTTGTTGACCAGCTAAACCAACTGGACACCAAACTAGGTGACAAACTAAGACCAGAAACTGGTTTTAAATGGATTTTAGGCACTTGCCAGTTGGTCAGACTGGGAGACCAGCTTGCTGACCAGCTAAACCAACTGAAAATCAGCATGGCCAGACTGGAAGACCAGTTAAGACCAGCAAATAAGCTTAGGCTGGTTTAATCAGGTTTTTTTTTTCCTGACCCCAAACTCATCATTGTTTTGAGGTGCTGCTCAAGAGTTAGTGCAAAAATGTTTTTATGGGAAACTTTGTTACATTGGGCTCTCTAGCTGTCAAGGTTTCTACAAACAGATCACTTAGCTTATTATAATTTATAAACACATGTACGATCTGGTCACAGAAGGTTCTAGACCTTGGATTTTCGGCCTCTCTGTACAGTAGATAACAAGCAGTACTTTGTGACCGTTGTCCATCATTCATACTCTATGCATAAGTAACGGTGAGTCCTGCCTTCCTTTAGCACTGCAGGGACTCGCCACGCTGCTCCTTCACCCCACTCCACTGTGACTAACATTCGTAATATCCGTAACTCCTCCTCATCACTGTCTACCTGTCATCCCCATCGGCCCAACATTGCTTTTGAAAGGGCTACCATTCTTTTAAAATGGACAATACACTGGACAATATACTGGAACCTCTCCTGGAACAGTGCTCTTTAGTTTGGTGGACTTGTAGAGCTGAACCGCTGATGAGTCGGGTCCTCCACACCCATGGTAAACATTCCCGTCTGTTCTCTTTGTGACCTGTGTGAAAAAAAAAAGACTTCTGTTTTGGTTTGCCCCTATGAGATCATGTTGACATGATGTATATTACTTGAACTGTTCATTTTTTGTATGGTTTGTAGGGGGAGGAAGGAGGGCCTGTTATTCCTGTCATTTGAGGAAACATGCGTCCCGGTCATTCCATAGCTGTATGGAGGCATTTTGTACGCTGTTTGTTGCACAAACTTTTTCAAGAAGCCTTCTGCACTGTGTAAATTATTACATAGGATGGGGGGAAGGGTAGCCGTTGCAGTCAAATGAGTCTGAATCATGATTTGTAAATATGTTTTCATACAGCAAAACTTTTGATAAGGTTTTAAACATTTCTTGTAAAAAGAAGATGTGTATATTAGTCTCCTGGACAAAAAAAAGAGTGTAGACCATACATGGATTTATTTGTACTCGAGAGCACTGGATTTCTTTACTACTTGATTGTAACTAAAAATTAATAATCTGCCAAAGTGTTTGTATTTTTTTTTCTTCCTCCTGGTCTTAATTTGATTTTTGCTTTTTAACCGTAAACATTGCAGAAATAGTGTTTAATTTGTATTTGTACATTTATTTAATAGATAAATTAAATTGTAATTCTATTTAATAGGTTACACTCAGTGTTGAAAGAGAGGGTTACAGTTTAATTTATTGGTGCCTTGTATGTGTTCATGTATATTTTCCAATAATGTTATGTTTTGTTTGCTTTTCTGGTGTCTGTGTCAGTGGGTCAGAGGTGGTGGGAATAGGGAGGGGGTTTTAACATTAGCAAAACTTGTACTTACATGGAATATCTGTACTGTATGCCAAAATGGTCTCACTCACGTTTCTATGAAATTCAAGTTGTTGATAAATATCTATATATTGATATATTAAATTGTTAAAAATCTTTTGTCGCTCTTTGTCTCCTTGTTGTTCTTAAACATTACATTCGGTTAAATCAGAACAGTTGTGTCAGTTGTTTGTGGTATTGATGAAATGATTTAAAGTTCTTTGTTATCTTTTGTACCCCTGCATAAATTTGCTGCATACCAGCTCACAATTCTTGTCAGTATGCCGACATTGCGGTTATGTCTGGCTCCCCAGAGGAGACGGTGGCTCTGTGCCTGGTAATGGAAAGAGACCCCCCCGCCAGGTGTCACTCTGTGATTTTGCTAATGTCTGCGGTGAGTATTAGCCTCCAGGGAGACCTAAATAAAATGGGGAAACTGCTTGAACTCCCAGCGTGCAGATTTGATGAATGTGATTTTTACAAAGTTGCCATGGTGCTCACCCGAAAATCTAAATTCTGTAACCATTTACTCACCCTAATGTGGTATGTGGTTCCAAACCTGTATGACTTTATTTTCTCTGCAGAACACAAAAGAAGATATTTTGAAGGATGCCATTCAAAAGAAATACATGTTTGGAACGACACGAGGGTACGAAATTTATTTATTTTTTGTTGGTCAACTCTCCGTTCAAGAGCAGACACCTTGCTATAGAATGCAATAGTACAGGTTCTGGAAATAAATATTGAATCTGTAAATTATAGACCTTTAAAGATGTTGTTAATTGATTCTTTTGATGAAGCACATTGTTTGAAATATTTTTTAAACAATCACTTTTAACAGCAGAATTGCTAGTGAAAAGCTACATTACCAATAATTATGGAAAGAAATTTCCACCAATCAGAGAATTGTGGTGAGCAAATCACACCAAACCACTTTTGAGACTCTCACTCCCATTAAGCACTACAAATGACTTTGCAGTGTGTGTGTGTGTGTGTGTGTGTGTACCTACTTAACCCTATTCTGGGGACACATTTGTAGCCAAAAGTGAGCAAAACCTGACAAAATCGCCAAAAACCTCCATTAGGGGACGTCCTAATTTGTAAAACTGGTATAAAAATAAAGGCGTTTTTTTTAATTGTAGAAATGCAGAAAGTTTTCTGTGAGGGGTAGGGGTGGGTTTAGGTTAAAAAGTGGACAAAATCGCCAAAAACCTCCATTTGGGGACGTCCTAATTTGTAAAACTGGTATAAAAATAAAGGGGTTTTTTTTAATTGTAGAAATGCAGAAAGTTTTCTGTGAGGGGTAGGGGTGGGTTTAGGTTAAAAAGTGTATAACTATCTGTATATAAAAACAATAGAAGTCTATGTAATGTCCCCATTTAGATAGCTAAGTAAATGTGTGTGTGTGTGTTTTTCTATTCTGGTGGGGACTTAAACCTGAATACACACAGACTCATGGGGACTCGTGTCACGGTGGGGACCTAAATTGAGGTCCCCATGGGTAAACAAGCTAATAAATCACACAGAATTAAGTTTTTTGAAAATCTAAAAATGCGCAAAGTTTCCTGTAAGGGGTAGATTTAGGTGTAGGGCAATAGAATATAGGGGCTGTACAGTAGAAAAACCATTACGCCTATGGAGAGTCCCCACAAGGATAGCAAACCAGACGTGTGTGTGTTTATATGATTGTCATTTGCAATGCTTCATGGGATTGTAGTTTTTTCTCTCAATAAAGCTGCTAAAAACATCTTGTATCTTGTACCTTTGTTTTCTTGTCCAATTTTCAAATACTTTTTGATTCAAATCAAAGTTTATGATGTTGTGTTTCACCTCATAGCATGGTTTAAAAAAGAATGGGAAATATACTTCCGGAACCAAGGCTGCTGAAAAAGTGGACGGGCACTAATGCACTCTATTGTAGCTCTTTGTGCAAGACGGATGGTATTGAGGAATGCTGTTTTTTAAAGCAGTTTAAACCGTTTTTAATGGTAGCTCACAATGGTTTGCGCAATGAGCTCTCCTCCCCGAGCGGATTTGGCCTGTGGAAGGGAACCAACAGTTGTGTGGGCACCCTGGTTCGTCTCTACTTAGACAACCCTATTTATCATTCTCTTTGTTGGTTCGGTTACTTTGCCTATTGTGGCAGTCTCTGAAAACAGTCCTCAAAGAGAACTTAATCTTGTTATCCTCATCTATGATAGATTAATTTTTTTCCCAATCCCTAATCACTGCTGTCCCTCAAGAAAAGAAAAGTACAGTTATTTCCTCTTCTTCTTTTTCCAGCTTTATTTTAGTAGGACAAATGACATTTAGGGCTCTCTCCTACTGTGCGAACATCCAATTATTATGCAGCCGGTCTGACTGTGGCAAAGGGAGCTGGGTGTGTCTGTGTCATCCGTCTAGGTGAAAGGGGGCCAGAGCATTCGCTAAAAGCTATTAAGACTTAATTACTGCTAAAAATGTCTTTGTTGTACCAGGGAGTGTGTTGTTCACAAATAAACAAGGATCTGCAAAAAGGGCATGGAAAGCATGAAAGTAATACTGATTAGGATGGGGAAATGGAAAGTAGCATTTGGGATTAAAACCCAATGTGCTGCTGTTCCTGTTTCCCTCCTTCCTGCTTTTTTGTTAAAGGGATAGTGCACCCAAAAATGTACTTACCCCCAATGTCATTCCAAACCTGTAAGAAATGCTATTATGCAGTTACTAGGATTTTGGAGCTTTTATGGAGATGGTTCAAATCTGACTGAATTTGATCCAAAACACAAAATTTGAATCTTCCAAATGTATGGGTAGAGTGGTCTTCTTTTGAGTTCACACTTTCGTGATGTAATGCCACTATGACTGTTGGGTAGAAGTTGCCTCAGTGCATGCTCGGCAGAAGTGTGCATGGAGGGCATATAGCGGCCACAAAGGAGCACCCTTCTGAAAGCTAAAATGAATGGGACACCCTACGGTCTTGTAGACTTGCGCACCATTGGCGGCCATTGTGAGACCACAAGTGCACATGAAGTGTGCCATTTGGGACATGGCCTTAGACTACAAAATTGCATAAGCGAATTGGGACACACCTTAAGTTTATTTATGAACATCATCCATCCTAGTTTTGCTTGGTGCATTCATGACAGAAATAGCGGTCAAATTTGTGAATAAATTGTTCTTTTGAATCATTGCCTTTCTAATCTTTTCATTGTATATTTGGAAATTCACTATATATTGCGAAACCAGTCTGAATTTGTCCATATCACTCAATGATTTTATTTTATTTTTTTATTTTGAAATTAAAATCCTCCTGTGGTTGTATGGATGAGTGACCAGTACACAGAGTCAATTATAGAATTTGCATCTACCCCTTTTATATGTGATTTTGCATTTTAAATCACATCTCTTATGTAAATGTAATAAATATATAAAAGGCAGTACATTTGTTCCGTACTGCTCCAATATGTAGTGCATTTTTTTCCCCATCTCATCGTCTCGTATTGTCTCAAGATGCTCCA